TCTCTCTCTCTCTCTCCCTTCCTTGACATTATACCATAGATCTATGGTATTGAGCTACAGGCCAGGTATGATACCCAAAGCCGATCGAGGTGAGAGGAAATGGAGATCCTGTCAGGGTCGTGCTTCTCGTATGTGCCGTGCAGGCACCGTACCGCTGCTGCCGAAACCCTAACTATGCACCGTGCTCTATCATACCATTATTGAATCTTTACCCTTGATCCCTCGGATAAGAGGGTATTTGCTCTTGGAGTCCTGACCCCCCCCCCCCCGTCCCTGCTTGGGTGTCTGGAAAGTGTGGGCGGGCGTTCCACATCTTACAGTACAGGTATCCTCCATATCGCCGTCTCGTGTGTCACGCCCCGCGCAAAACCGAGCGGAGGAGGGAGGAATGGTTCTGCTCACCAGACCATGCTTGCTTTACTTCACGACGTTATCCCCTTCTTGCTGCCTGGATATTTTGCCGTAGGTTAACGTGCCGTATGACACTCGCTGCCTCTGATACCCGTACCACAGGTTAATCATCTGCTCTACCGTAGCGGTCATACATGCCTGCAGATGCTCCCTCCTAGCTTGCGCACTTAATATCACATTATGTATGATAGCACTCGTGCATTGCTTCTTGCTTTCCATTAATGATCCGATGGCTGGGTGAATGAACACACCACACGGCTTTTATTACACTACCGTGCTTCCTTGCATGCTGGACTTTACGAGACGTCTTTTCTTTTTCTTTTTTCCCCTCCCCTCCCTTCCTCTCATATCTCTACATTCGTGGGTAACCATAGTATAGTACACTTCCAACAGCCATCATAAGGATCATCATATAACTACATATTATGTACTTTGTGGAAACAGAACCACATCGGCCGCAAGGGGCTGGGGGGGAATGAAGATACGGCTAAGTTGTCTGAACAAAAAAAGGATACGGGGGGGAAAGAAAAATGTGGAACCAACTCATGACCCATCAATACGCCTAAACACCAAAACAACCCTGTTCTCTCTCTCTCTCTCTCTAAATAAAAAAAAATTCCCATTCAGCACCGAGGCATGCTACTGCAAATGTACAGCAAAGCCCTATCAACGAGCTTCCCCATTTTTTGTTTCTCCCCCGCCATTGCCCTCAACAATTCTACTACCCCAACCAACTTGCAAGATTATCTAGACCGATCCCCAATCCCTAATTTGAGAATATCCCCATTCGGGCACCCCAAGTCTCGCCCTTGGGTGAGACGATAATTTGGTAGGGAAACGGATTGGCCTCGTTGGTGGTGATCGGCGGAATATGGTCCTTCTTCATGCTGGCCGTGGTAATGATATTGAGAACAGCGGCCTGTAGTTGTGCCTCCATAGAAGTTCGGAGCTTGGCACGGTCTATATGGTGCATACAAGTCAGCTGAGCAGTCCGAAAATAAAAGTAAGCCCCCACGCTGATAAACATAACGCTACGCACCCGCATCAGTCCTTGCAGAGACGACCGTGACAGTCAACATCCATTGCTCCCAGCAGACATTCTCCTCAGCTTTTGAGAACCAATTCTTCTTTGGGCGTCTCTCGTAGAACTCCACTGTATACACTCGAAATCGGTTAACATCACTGGGGGAGCGTAATGTTGGGAGGGGGGCCGTGGAGCCGGTACCTGCCACCTGACCGCGTTGGGGCTTTGTCCCAACGCCTGCTGAGGTTTCTATCGACCTTATCAAAACATTGGTACGTTGGTTGATAAACTCATCGAGCTCAGGATCGTCTACCACAGGCTATTTGAGCGGTCAGCACTATTTCCAAGTCGCGCCGCATGGCACCCCATATCCTAGCAGGATTCCAAGAGACGCAGCAGGAGCCCGCAATTTAAGGATTTCGCATACCAAAGTGAGATCGAATAGGTCTCTAGTCTTCGGTCTGACAGTAGGGAAAAATCGGTGAAAGAAAATGGTTGAGATTACACCTATCCAAAGGGGATAGGTTAGTTTGAAATTTTTGCAGGAGCCACACAAAATAAACCACAGCATTGTGAAAGCAACTGATACCTTTGACAATGTCCTTCACCAAAGAGCGATCGGCGAGGACATCCAGTGAGAAGACAGGCGGCCGTTCCATCCCATCGTCTTGGAGTAGGAACTCAGGGTTGAGAGGGAAAATCGGCCCTTGAGGGCAGGAGAGCGCCCAGGGGATTATATCCCTTTCGAGAGGAAAGGGAGTTTTTTTTTTTTTTAAAAAAAAAAAAGGATAACAAAGGTCGTGTGGATAGTATGGGTGCCGGCGGTTGCCGTCGCCTTTTTCCAAAGTTTGGGCTCGGAGCAAGTGCAGATTTTATTTCCCCTCCTTTTCCACCGTGACCTGGCGGTTTTGTATGGTTCTTTGAGCAGACACGAGATGGGATGGGGCGGGGGGAGAGAAGGACAGTGACGAAAAAAAAAAGGAGGGGCAGCGAACCCCCGGTTTCATGCTTCTGAGGGGTAAAGCATACCGGTATACCCACCCGCAACTGTGGCATCTATGACTAAGCGGGGATAAAGGAACGAACGTGTACCAAGTGCAAGTACTGGTACCGTACGAGTACTGGTATGATACCGGTACAGGTACCGTAAGGTACACCGGTAGTACGGTAGTGATGGCTTAACACTTGGTAAAACAACTCCGATATTACCTTGCCCCCCCCCCCCCCTGCGACACGGCGATGCCCTCGTTGTGACAATCCTTATGGAAACCAGGCCGTCTTCGTTGGCCCAAGTCAATCATCACAGCGGGACAGGGACGGAACCCTCCCACCAAACGGAGCGGGGTGAAAATAGAGAGTCAAAGGATATGACAACTTACCGGCAGGGGCAAGGTAAGGGGGAAGCGGGAGCATATTCGCTTGGCAGAGTGCGGGCAGTAACGAAAATCAGGGCAAGCCCTGCGAGGGCTCGCGGGAACTACGGGGGGCTCCACGGAGTGATATGATACTGTAGTCCACATGAATCCACTTTTTCGTAGGAGCAAAGTATCCCTGCCCGCGACATAGGGACGACGGAGGGAGCAAAGGTGAAGATTAATTAATAACTAAACGGTAATAACAGTAATAACACCTTCTAATGGGAAAAGTGGGAGAAGTCATCTCTCCAGGTCCCGTTGGTTCACCCTGTCATGGGTACAAGTATCATACCCGTGTTTTCCCACTCTGCTTTATCACCGTTTTTCCATGTACAGCACTTCGTCCGATCTTCCCCACTCTGCAATTGCAATGAGGATTTATCGGGTGCTGGGCCGTGATGCTAGCAACTGGCATTCCAGCACCCCTAGTCAAAACACCGCTCAGGAACCTCGGTCGCCGGTTGTCACGTTCCTTTCCTGGCGGCTGGACCGAGTTTTGGAGAGAGAGAGAGAGAGTTGTCTTCCTTCTCTTGTGCCTGGCTTGGCACAGAGCTCACTCTTACCCGTACCATCGGTGTATCATACCGACACGCCTGGATCAACACGCCTGGCTCCTGCATGTCCTCAACCAGCCTGAGGCAACACATCCAGAAATCACTCTCCAAAGTTCACCACAGATAGGGTGCAGGGGCTAAGAAGAGATTGGCTAAGTGGAAGGTAAACACAGGAAAAGAAGAAAGAAAAAAAAGAAAAAAACCTCCCGAATACGGTGTCATACCTATACTAGATTCATTACACGCTTGGTTCCGTCTAATCATTTACCCTATCAATCTCGAGCCAATTATTCCACGCTCGCTCGCGGACGCTTAGCTCCTACGGTACTTCCCCAGAACCTCGCCTTCGTCCACAATCCCTCCTCCTCCTTCTCCCCCATTCCGCAGACCCTACCCATCCCCGGCCTTCTATCTCATTTCTTATTTCCGCCATGAGAGCATAGGAACGTCACTTCCTCACAACACCCGGAAAATCAAATGTTTACAGCAACACGGAACTTTTTCAGACGCAACCGCAGGAACTTTGCTATCGGCGTCGGTCTTGCCGGCGCTGGCTACCTTGTCACCAATTATGTCCTATCGAAGCTCTCGGATGCCCGAGAGCGCATGTCCAGCGACCGGATAGCCCGCGAAAAGTGATGTTTCCTCCTTCCCCCCTTGACAATTCGATTCCCCCATACTGACGGATGATGGTTGTGGGGGTGAAGTCTTCGCCGGCGGTTTGAACAAAATCAGGAGGATTGCACATTCACCGTGCAAGCCCTACTCCCAACTGCTACCCAATTGATTCTCGAGGAGTTGCCCGTTGAGAAACTCACCCAGGAGCTACAGCAGAAGAAGGCTGCGCGGATCGCAAAGAGTGGGACCCTTGCAGGAGCTGGCATACCGATAGATGCGGCATCCGAGGCTTCGGCCGCTATCACTGCGTCCGGAGGTAAAGACGACGATGCGCAATCTGTGCAGTCCTTCGCTTCGGAGTCGTACGTGATGGCGCAACGGGAAGGCGAGGAGAAGCCGGCAAGGAAGTCAAGGGTGAAGCTTTGGGACGAGATCAAGATCAGCTGTAAGTTTTTCGCAAACCACTACCCCCGCCCTCGAGCCGCGAATTAATGAGATTGCGCCAATCCAGCTTTATCACGGTCCTTCACCCTGCTGTACACCCTTACCCTGCTTAGTTTACTAACCAGAGTCCAACTCAACCTCCTCGGCCGTAAAAACTACCTATCCTCCGTCGTCACCCTATCGGCGCGCGACGGCGAGCCTACCATTCGCCTGGAAGATCATGAGACCGGGGGTTATGGCACGGACATGGCAACCAACCAGCAGTACCTAACCTTCTCTTGGTGGTTACTGAACCAAGGATGGCGACGACTCCTTCAGAGGGTCGATCAAGCCGTTCGGGAGGTTTCCGCTTCGTATGTCTCATTTTACTTTTCTTCTTCCTTTCTTTCACTCGCTCCTCACATTCAATGCATGGCGGAAGGCAGCTCCACTACGATGGTTGAGGGTTGAAATAAAAACTGACAAGCCTGGATCTAAAGATGGACAGCGAGGGACACCATCTCACTGGGACAAATGAAGCAGCTAATCCTCGAGACCCGGAAGATCATCGAGGCGGAAGGTGAATCCAGGTAAGCAAGCCCAATTTCTCCCACCCCGTATCGTGACCACAATCACGATAGCTTCTCCCCCACGTGGGAGACCCGTCCCAAACCCGCACCCCCAGCAAGCTAACCACACAAGACCCACCAGTATCTGGCTTCCATTCCTCCTCCCCCCACGCTCCGACGAAGCCATAGTCCTGGCCGAATCCGGCATCGCGGCAACCCCCGAGGGCGAAGATCTGGACATCGTCTCCCCGTCCCTCCGCCGCCTCCTGGACGAGACCTCGGACCTGATAGACTCTCCCAACTCCTCTGCCGTGACACGCAAAATGCTGGACGCCGGCTTCAACTTCTTGCTGGAGAAACTCGCCGATGGGGCATTCAAGCAGAAGGCCATGGCACTCCCGGCCACCATAACGATGGAGAGCCGCATCACACCCACACGCGATGGTGGCGAGGAGAAGGCGTTGATGGAGGACGATGCTGCAACGACAAAGTTTGCCAGCGTGCTCGCTGTGCTCGCGAGACAGGGGCATTTGATTGGGAATGGAGTGCCGAATGAATACTTGCAAGTGTGTTACCTCTCCCTCTTCCCTCTCCCTCTCCCTCCGATTTCATCCCGCGCCCCTCTCGATCCCCTCATCCCACGCCGGACAACGCTGCAGTGCTTTTTATTGTACAGCGAAGCTATGTGTGAATTCTTGGTAGGTCCAACGTTGCTAACACGTCGTGATTGGGCAGGTTATTGAGCAACAAAAGGAGTTAGAAGCTTTCAGCGCTTTAGTATATTCGTCAAATTTTGAGTTCGTTGCCGAGACGGACGACGGTCCTGCATCCTGGTTTTGAGACACAAAGGATGGACACCTTTCTTGTCTGTTTGCTCTATAATTCCCTAAATACTCCCCCCCGTTCCTCCTCCTTTACGAAGACCTATTTCCCTCGCCCCCAAAGTACTGCCATCATGTATTGTATCAAGGGCCGCAAATTCAAGACGTTTCTATTCTCCTTCCCTTCCTCTTTAATTCAAAGCAAATCATTTCCCCAGACTATTTTTTTTTTCCCAAAGGAGTCCACTGCATTATCTCCCTACAAAAAAGGGTCAAGCGCCCAAATAAAACCAAGGGAACCCTAGACTATAGAACGAAGCCGGACTCTAAAAGAGAGGAGGAAAGGAAAAGGGGAAAGGAAAACGGGAAAGGAAAGGAAAGGAAAGGAGAGAGAAAAAAGGAAGATATCAAGGAAACAAAACTTTGAAAAATAAAAAGGCAAATAAAAAGCTCATTAACCGCTCGTTGATACCATTTTTTTTTTGCCTACGGTGACTTTTGACCGCGAGAAAAGGAAATGCTGGCAAAATATAAACCCAGTAGCTAACCATCGTGTCATCGTGCGCATGCGTCATACGGTAGCGTTGCATTGCATTAGAATGGGCACCTTATCGCTTAGCCTTTTACAACGTCTTATCACCAACAACAGCATCAGCCTTTGCACGAAGGTTGGAGGACGCAGCGTTGGCACGGCCAGTAAATTGCTTGGCAAAAACGGGCTGGAGGAATGAGCGGAAGACAAGCTGAGCACCACTGTTTCTCGTAGAATCGGTTGTTAACATCAAAATAAGGTCCAACACAAAAAGAACACCGCATGGGGGGAAGAATACCCGAATTGAGGGAGACCAAGCCACATGATAAGAGCAAACTTGAAGACGTAGTAGAATGGTAGCCAGTAGGTAACAGAGATAGCGGACTCAACCACACTGAAGAATGCGAATACAACCCAGTAGCTAATGCGATACCCGAGTTAGAAACAGGGTGCTCTAACCATCGCGTGAGGAAAATGTGGATCAACACATACGTAAGCCATTGTGTGTCGTCAACCTTGGTGAGGGTGAAGAGTGCGTTAAGCGAGTAATACCCGGGAATGAGGAACCCGGCAAGATTTGTCAAAAGTTGGCCGCCATAGTTGAGGAAGATCATAAAAAAGTACGCGAATCCAAGTCCGAGGACAACATATACTTTAGGGGCGCCTTGAGGGATAAGAGCGTAACGATTAGCCAAATCCGATAGAACGAGATGACTTAGATCATCCACAGTAACATACCGGTTTGTGCCTCGAGGTTGTTAAGAGCAGGGTATTTAGAGAGCTACGTCAGGCCAGATAGATAAGCAAAACCATACACCAGGGGAACTGGGATACGAGGGGCCGGAAACAGGACAACGAACCTCTTTGTCGAGCTGAGAGACGAGAGTTTGGGCCTTGTCTTGGAAAGACATGTTGGATATGGTTACTGTAGGAAGGACGGGTTGGGCACTGGGGTGGGGGGGTGAGTATGATGGATGGCGGTGAGGTTGTAGGAATTAGGCTTCCACGGAAGGATATGTAACGGGAGCGTGTATAACGAGAATGAGGAGAGATGAGGGGAATCGGGAAGAGGAGAGACGGGGAGGGAAGGGAGGGAGGGAGGAGTGTAAGATTTAAGCGGGGAGGAGGAGGAAGAGGAGAAAGAGAGAGAGAGAGAGGGAGGATGGATGGATGGGTGGGTGATATCGGGGACGGACGGCACTGATGGGGGTGTAAAAGAAAAGTTATTGTGGGCCGTAAAGCTAGTTGGAGGAGCAGGCTAAGTACAGTAGCGAGGTGACGGTTCCTTTCCGGCTTGGACAAGATACTGGTATGGTAGTAGCTTAGCCCGGGATAGAAAGGAAGGGCGGAAAGAATGGAATGGGGGAGGATCCGGTTTGAATGCCCTAGGCGTTAATCCTGGATTGACAGGGTGGCCTTGAAGTGAGGGAGTGGTTTGAGAAGTCTGTTGACCGACTGCTTCAAATGGACGGGCAACAGGCGTTACTTTTTTTCCGGTTTTTTTCCTATCGAACTACCGGTACCGGTACGGGAAAAACTGGACTACGGTAGACTATTGTAACCAGGGGGCGACACAGCGTCTGGGCTGGGCTAATCTTTTTTTTCTTCCACCTTCTCCTGATGCAGCGAGGGAGGGAGAGTTGAAGGGGGAAAAAATAAATAAGGAATGGTGAGTTGCTTGCTTTACTAAAGTTGTGTCCTCCCTGCTGCTTCAAGAGTTGTTGTTTTCTCCTGCCTGCTGTTGCTGGCATGTCGCTGGCTTGCGTTGATGCAATGCCGGCAGACATCCAGCGAATTACGTCAATTTTTGGTAACTGAGGTACATATCATACCGTTCGCTAGGACGATGTTGGTACCGGTATCTGGTCTACGCTGTAACGGCGTAACGGCGGCCCACTTTCTTTCGAACAATTATCACCGCCCGATAAATGGAGGCATATGGTATCTGTGCCTCCGTGATGGCCTCTGTGATGCACCTGGACCTTGATTTCCAGTGATATCCCCACCCTTCCCCCGATCGGAACAAGAAACAGCAACCAAGAGAACCGTTGGTGAAGCCAGCCCCAGATCGGATGCTTATATAAGCAAGCAATATAATGTGTCCGTGCAGCCGAAAATTTAATGCCCATAATAATATTGTTCTGATACCGGTACTATCGATAGGGTCATCATGGCCCATTCCGGCCGGTTATCAAGCCTGCCAACGTCTCCCTAAAATAAGATATAATTCTCCTTCCAGTATTCCCGGTTTCCGCGTCTTATGGTCGGGTGCTTGACCTGGATGCTAAATTACTGTAAAGGGCTTCCTTTTCATCGCCTGTGTCCCCAAATCTCCCATCGTAGGGATACGGTAGAGTGATGGCGACATGACTAAGCACTGGGAATCCCCCGTTACATGTTTGAAACCCTAGCTGTCGTTGTCCGGGCGACAACCCATCCCCCAAAAACAACCCTTTCCATGCTCGCCCTCTCTGGCCCCTCTCACGGAAGCAGAAGCGGAAGGGAAGAGAAAAACAACTTGCTCGCTCTGCGTGCCTTATCCACCAAAACAACACGTTCCCCTCGATAAACATCAAATAATTCTCAACTCCTTTGGCCATTCTTCTCGTCCCTTTCACCCCTGTCGGCTGCCTTGTAGCGTTATCGGGTAATCTCTTGTTGTGTGGATATCTCATCGTCCCATTTCGCGCATCTTGTCAACACTTACCTCGACTTATCCTGGCGTGAAGGATCAACATCACAACAACAACCGTTTCTCTCGTCCTGACAACCACCTCCACACACATACTGCGAAACAACAACCGCCACCCCTCCTCCCACTGTTGCCCCACCAACTTCATCAGCAACAACATCTCTCTCCGGTCCCTTTGGCTATGGAGGATTCTTCAGGATCCGGCTCGCCTTTGCCTCAAGGTAATTGCTATTTTGTTTTGTTTTTGATGGCTCCCTTTGTTCCTCCCTGATTCTGATTGTTAAATCCCCCGCTCCATGGAGATCACTCATTCATTCCCTTATTCTTTCTCGCGTTATGTCCATTTCTTTCGGTCGGCAACAAACTTATAATCTGAATTTGTTTCTCACTCATTTTCCTTCGTCATCAAAGGCCCCAATTCCTCTGGAAATTCTCAGACCGCACGCTCTAGGTCCCGTTCGATCGCCTCTAATTCTAGCACGCCCCATCCAAATGCTCATCCCCGGATTTCCTCTGGGATACCGCAATACAACCAGGAACCATACAACAGCGAGAATCATCCAATGACCCACCCATCTCTTCTTGTCATGACCCACAACCAGATAACTGAAATACAACCTCCCATTGGCACCTCTCTCGAAGGCTCTCCACAGACGAACACTGCCTTTCCCATCGATCCGGCTCTTGGGGGAAGTCCCCCGGAGCAGATTCCTCTACCTGAGCTTAGGTCTCCAACCACGCCCATTCCAGACATTCCGAGCTTTAGCCAGGATCGTGTTCCTAAAGATGAAGAGAGCCGTGAGTTTGATACTGGGATGGTTGTTGACGAGGAGGAAGAGAACGCGGGACCCTCGTCCGGGAGGAATTCAAAACGAGGGTCTGTGATCGCTGAGGACAGTGATGCCGAGCTTCGTCGGCTAGCCGAGGAGAACAAAACAGTCCCATTGGATGAGCTCGCTAGGAGGGTCAGAAATGATGAAAACACACCGTCCGCCGAAAAGACAAGGCAGGTTTACGGTTTGGGATGGTAAACTTCCCCCTCCCTGCTCTGCGGCTGCTTTATCCGTCCTATAGGCTCTCTAGCAGATCTTGAGGGCCTTTTTTCACCCCTGTTGTAGCCGTCTTCTGTACCCCCAGGGCTCCGATTTACGGACACATCGGGAGCTAACTCCGTTCGTCTAGGTTGCAAAAGAACTGTGAGAGAGTTCCCGATGCCTCGGTCGCCGTTCCTCGCAATCGTGTATATGCCCGCTACGTCGGTATCTGTGCCAATGAACGCATTAAGCCTTTGAACCCTGCGTCTTTTGGAAAGCTAGTCCGGCTCATGTTTCCTGAAATAAAGACACGCAGACTTGGAGTCCGTGGACAATCCAAATACCACTATTGTGGTATTCGCCTCGCAGGCGAGCAGTCATCCCCCAAAGTGTTGCAAGGTTCAGGTTCCGCCTCAGGATCGGAACCACCCGCGCAAGCGGCTGGGGATGATCATCTGCAAGTCTTCAACCCTTCTGCTCCTTTGCTGCCTAAGTTACTGACAGATAGCAGAATGAGTAACGGCTCGGCTCCGCCCTTCAGTAGTAACTCCGTACAAAAGACAATTCAAAACAGCATCAAAAATTCTTCGTATAAAGCTTCGAGCATTTCTCTCAATTCTCCTGTGTCATCATTCCTGCAAAACGAGCTATACTTCTCCCGTAATGAAGCAGATAACCTATCATCAAATGAAATCCTTAAACTCCCCGACATAGACCTATACGCTCCGCCCGGCACAGACCCTGACATATCAGCCACTCTCACAGCCATCTACAGATCTCATTGTACCTCGCTCATAGAATGTGTTCGATACATGCGGCTAAAACAATTTCATCAGCTTTTCATTTCCTTTCACGGCACACTAACCACTCCCGTCCAAAAGCTCTTAGGCGAACCCTCGCTTGCTTCTTGGATTCGGGAGTCTGACTGGGTCATGTACAAGGTTGGCCGGATCCGTTGCCCCTCTCGTTGTCAGCTGTGCTCACCTTTTCTCTAGGAAATGATAAGACTGCTTTCGCCATTAGCATTACAAGTGGTGCCTCCATTCGTCGTGACCGCTCTTCGACATCTTTCTACAAACCTAACATCCCACATATCGATGACATTTGCTGTCCAACCCCAGCATGTCATTGACGCAAAGATCGTGCCGTCTAGCATATTTTCTAGTCTCTTGGACCGATTGCTGCGTGTAAACGATGCCGCGCACGCAGCAGCTAGATTTCTCGGAAACCCTCCCGATAGAGAGCAAATGGTCAAGGACTGGGGGGACTATGTCAATGCGCAAACAATCGTGGACCGTGAATTGCCCTGCGGTTCTGCCGCGGTAAGAGAAATCCTACGAACCGAGGTTATCACCCTGTTGCAGCCACCTTCGACATCTGTAAATGGGATTCCCGAACCAGAAGACGGTTCAGCATCCACAGAAAGTGTCTTGGACCGATGGACACAATTCCTAACCTACCTCCCTCACCGGTTCCCAGGAGCAGACCCGCGGTACTTCAACCTGTGCCTTGGCGCCGCAGCGTCTGCCGCCCTGCGGGATTTAACAACTAACGGCGCTGTATCATTCGGTAGCTGGTGGGTCGTCCGTTGCTGGGTGGACGAGTGGATGGGGTGGCTCGCCGAGCGAGGTGGATTTCTTCGCCATTCTTCGGAATCGTTGGTACACGTTGGTAGTAATCGTGTGGGTGCTGAGGAAGAGCGTGTCTCTGTCGAGGTGGATTTGACCGATAATGGGGACGAGCTTGGTCATGATGATAGTGGTATATCTTTACGGGGAGGAGAGGAACCAATACATCTTCTTGATGAGGTAGGGGATGATCGGGATAATAGGATGGTCACCATCAAGTTTAGCAAGTAGCAGTCGCGGCGTACTCGTGTTGGCGGTGTGCCTTTCCTTATGATACCCTGTCCCCGATTGATTGATTTGCCTTCGGCTTTACATATCTTTAATTGTTGAATTTTTGTTGCGTTTTGTTTATTCCCCCCTTTCCTTCTCACGGTAGCTACTGAAGGCTCTGGAAGCGAGTCCTCCCCGAATTACTCATTTTTAATGAAGGCGTGATGATTGGTTACTTTCTTGTATATCGGGTTAAAAATCTTTTTTTTTCCTTCCATTTTTTCTCTCTTTTCTTTGAAGCTCTTTTTGATCACTATTACTATTTGATTTACTTTTTTACGCATCATCATCTTTACAATTCTGGCTATTTCTTTCTTTCCCTTACTCCTTCGACTTTCTTTCGGTTGTTTCCTTTGTTATAAACAGGGGTTGTCGGAGTACTCTTTCATGTAGGTTAACATCTTTTATCTTCCTTTCTTTCGCTCCCTCACTCTCTCAAAGCCGCCGCCGTGTGTCCGAGGCAGGATCTTTGGGATTGGTCTCAGTTCTTGTGTTGCATATGTATGGTACGGCCTACTGCCCTGCATTCTACTTTGGTGATGATGGTGTGCCTGCTGCTATGACATTGCTCTATTGTTGTTTTTTCCCTTCTTCTTCTCTCTCTCTCGCCCGCCTGCCTGCCTGCTCAGTGCTGTTATTGCGTAGTTGAATTGCCTGCCTGACTTGGATCATGTTGGCGAGAATGAAATGGCATGACTTAACTAGAGAGAGAAGAGGGAACAATGCACTACAATGGGGTAACATTCAATGTGTGGTGTCGCCGGGTATTTTTATTATTATTAAGCTGCTAGCATATGCGCGTCACCGTACCGGTACGAAGCTTTCCAAAAAATTGGTGAATCGAAGCAACACAAGGCGGTATTTTGGCCCGGTAGACTGCCAATTCACCTCATATCCAATTCTACTGGTCAGGTGGGGGGGGGGGGTCCCAGTCAAGTGAGGGGCGCAAGATCATCTTAGGATCCAGGCAGGGGATACTGCGCTCGAATGCTCCATCATATTGTGGCGCTGGCTATACACGATCCTCAACCAAGGCCCGGTGAACGACTCAGGCTGAGGCATGATATGGTGTCTCGTCTCATAACCCCCCATGCCCTCCGGGGCACATGGGAAATGTCTTTGGTCGGCTGGAGGACCGACGCCAGCTTCCCCCGATTACTAAGAGGGAGGGAGCGCCATGGAACAAACTTATAGAATACAGTTCCGGAGATAGAGACTTTGGATCGGGGTATGATACCTAAAGTTCTAAGATCTACTTCCCGGAGAATCTCCCACGGCTAACCCGCCGGAAATGCACTCCCAAGTCAAGTAGCACTTCCAGTCTTTTGCCCTACCGTATGTTCAGGTCAGGCGGGAAAGTTCCGGATGGGTGCGAGCGACCGAAGGTAGCGCCTCACTGGTATATGTAGCCCGGCTGTCTCAGTAGCGCTTGAAAAATATCGATATTTCCAACAGATGTAACCAGTTCATATTCTTGGATACATGAGTTTGCACTAATGAGACTCTGTACACTTAGCGAGACCAGAAGCTGTGAGGAAATTCTGAAATCGCGGAACAAGGAGCGTGTTTATGTTTTTTTTTTTCTCCTTGTTAATATAACATTGCCTCCTGCCTCGAATGGCTACCATACACTTCCACCGCCGGAATGTAGCCACATATCCGTTGAGGGAACTTCCCCCAGCCTGAACGGGAAATTCTCGCTGCTTTCCCTTATATGTACCTTATCACTCACGATTGTGAGATTCCCTCTACCAGTGCCCGGAAGTGGAAATTCACGCGGCATCACTCGCTAGACTTTCCTCCGGTGTATGATATGTGGCTGTCCCGCAGTACTCGCTCCAACGCCTTTCTCTCTCTCCTGGGTCCATCGTATCCGGGAACAATGCTCCTTGTCTACCGTTTCACTAGGACTAGAGTTTTTATCCCTCGCTTTTCGTAAGGCTGGCTTCCCTTCCTTCTGGCCTCGGGGATCTTTCTCCCATGCTTGGTGATTACCATGGAGAAATAAGTCTACCGTATCTGGCCCCATTTCCTTCTCGTCTTCCCCTCTCTGCTCCAACAGGAGTGAAAGCTAGATCCAAGAACGCGCACATACCACCAATCTCCGCCAACTCCACGGCGATATTCAGGGTTATTCTTTGTGATTCTGAGAGGTATGATCGATGCCATATGCCATTCTCTCCAACTATCCGCCAAATACCCGTCAATGCTGGCGTGAGGCGATAGAAATGGGTTTTTACAGGGCTCTCGAGCCGGACGATGCCTAGAAAGTCACCCACATACTTAAATTACCCCTCTCTCGATTACACACAAAGATGGTGCGAACCTTATAGCCCAGTGGGACGATAGCGAGATACTAGCTTGCTGTATTCCCCAGCACTCGCCTTCGGTAAGTGGAGACTTGTGGGTGATCAAAACACTGTCTGTCAGGTTTGCCCCTTCTGCCGCTGTGATCCTACCGAATTAATGCGGGCAAGTGGAAGATGCATGGTTTGTTCAAAGAATAATACCATATAACACCAGCCAGCCTCCAGCACCGATGCCGATACGCGAGTGCTATAATTTCATTTCGAGACTACAGTTCGGTCTTGGATAGTATGCAGTTAGTTAGATCGTGAAAGTATATCATAAAAAGAATCGATAATAGGGATGGACTGTTATAAAGCGAACCGCATTGCACTCGAAGTTAATGTGTTCGAGTATCGTACGGGGTTGTTTTTCGTTCATGATTACCCTCACTAGAGCAGCCAGTGATTCCACATCCGATATGGTGCCTCTTGGATAGGGAAAGTACAGTATAGTAAAAGTCTAAACAGTCACTCGAGATTTCAGAATATATCAAAATTGTTATACCGGAATATACTTCTTGGTGACGAACAATTATTACAATTAAAATTATTGTTGACGAATGAGCGCGAACGAGAGGAGCTGGAAGGCGCTGGCTGGCATGCACTCTTCATGAACTCCGGTTGACAAACCGCCGCCTGTAGGAACCCGTAAGTATAGAAAAAACGGTTAGCCACTAGCGCCCTACTTCCAGGTAAGAATATCATGCAACCACCTATGTATGATATCATACGGGACCCATACTCCCCAGAAAGTTCAAGTATAACATAATAGGTGGATATAGAGGGCGACGGGTGGTATTCCATGACAGTTCTACAACAAGATCACCCGGGGATCTCAACCACAACCCCCCTTCCTCCTTTCCCCCTTAAACATACAGAATCTCACTCGCCAGCCCCAAATAATGCAGCCTATTCATCCCAACCGGGCTCAGCACAGGCACGTCGTGCACAAACTCCACATCAACCTGATTTCACAAGAAAGCATTTCCACAGCTTGCTCGTGCCGTTCTTGTGAAAGTCGTTCCAGCAATTGAATTCGCCGATACTGGCGCAGCGCCACGACTTATTCCGTGCCACTATATTGGGCGAGTGTAGGCCAATCAGGGCCTCCGCATCGACATTGCGGTCGCGGTAGGTCTCAGACTTGAGGAAGGTTGTTTCGTGCACAAGGGAGTTGTAGGACGTGTCGCAGGGCCGCGCCGCACAGTGCGGAGGTGGGTGGTCTCTAGGGTCTTGGGGGCCGGGCCAACGAGCGAGTATAGGGGTTTATTGTTTATTTGTTGTTCAGCACAGGAAGACGGAGGTGGGGTAATAGCCAATCCGGATCGGCAGCTTCCCCGCAAAAGCCCAACTGCCGAATCTTCGCAACGAGTCTGCATGATGGAAGATGCTGTCGGAAACGTTGTGCAGCTCCTCCGTGTTCTCGGTGCATTCCAGCAGCAGATACAGGTTCTTCGATCCTTTGAAGGACTGGATGAGCTGCACTAGTCCCTCCGGTTGAGTCTTGTATTGTATATCGTATGTCTTGATTCTCAACGAACCCCCCTTCACCGCCAGCGCGTTTGGCAGCTGGACCGTGGACGAGCAGCTGCACATGGCTAGGTGCGCCAAGGGCAGGACGTCGGATATCTGCGTGAGAAAGGGAGGCACATCTGTCAATGGGATATCCCGGGGCACCAAGTCTTTCAGTTTTGTCTGGCGCTTTCGTCCTGGCGCTGGGTTCCCGGCACTGGCTCCTTCATCTCCGGGTTTCTCCAAGAGCTTTTTGGAGATTCTTTTGGCGGTCGGTAGGAATGTTGGCGACTTTTCGGTGCTGCCTCCGTCGTTGAATATTGAGGCGCCAAAGTTGTTTAACGAGAAGGTGAATGAAGTGATGGTCAGCCAGGTTAGGTCTATGTATCGGTTCCGCCACTCCCTGTGGGTATCCACCACTCCAGTGCCCACGCGCAGTGATTCGGCGGATATGCTCGATGCCCGAATTGTGCTCGTATAGGGGGCAGCTCAGCATGACCGGGTCCGGGGTGTAACCGCGAATTGGCGTCGTATGGATCGTCGCATCGGAGCAGAGTGGCGGTGTTGCGGTGGGGCAGAAGGGGTTGTATACTGTGTAGAGAGAAGCTAGACAGACGGCCGGGTACTTGTAAGAACTGTAAATCGTAAATTTGGTGGTCGCGGTGTTGGTGGGAGGGGAGGACTGGTAAGGCCTCTTGGAAGCATTCCATTTTTTTGTTGAAAGAATTTGGTTGTGTAGCAATTGATTTTTTGTGTGCGGTGTTGTTTTCTCCAGTAATTTCCAAGCCTCTTATTATGCGCACGGTCTCCCCGCCTGAGGAGACTCCGGTGGGTAGCGGTCTGATACCAGGAGGGGTTTTCAAAGTTAAAAACAGACTAAAAATCCAGCTTACTCTGTCTGGTGTTTTATATAAACTTGGTATGCACAAAAAGGTTAATTTACTATTACTTAAATTTACCATACCCCAGGATAGACACAGAAGGAGTATTCAAAGTTAAAAAGAAGAATTTTCAGGAAAAGGATAGGGGCGATCTTGGATTAGGATAGTTTATGCCACCAGTCAATAGTGTTGACAGATTTCAAGTTGCATATTTGGAAGTCCATTTAACAGATATTTGTAAATAGCTGCAAAGATTATTGTCAATTGACATGAAGGAGTTTCAGTAAACACTAGACTGAAAATATCTTAGCCAATATTTGTTTTAGTTAGTCTGTTCAAAGAATCCCTCTGTTCTTTAACCCCTTATCTATATTGGTTTACTTATAATACTTTACTTATCTTACTTACTTTTATTACTGATCTGTTTTTATTAGTTTTAATGTAAAAAATTAGTATTTTATAGTATAGCAGATTAATAGTAAATTTGTAACGGACAGGGTCTGAGGGTCGGGTAGCCTAAGGCACATCACGATCAGGACAGGTAGGGTTCTGGAGACGAGGGCTAGGTGCAGGGGTACAACCGAAGCGAGTTGTATGAGGTTCGGGGTTCAGGGGTTCAGGGTCAGGGTTCAGAGGTTTAAGGGGATGCCAGATAGTAGAGGGTGTAATTCCTAGGTACAGGTATCTGAATTATATCTAATTTTATTTAGACTCGCCGCGTTAAAACATGGCTTATAGTTGAGCGATCATCCTATCGTACACCTACCATAAGGGCAGGCAGGCCTCCGGCGGACCACAAGCGCACCGGAACTGTCCTCGAAAGCAACAGCCTGGGGCCGGGGTCCCCACAATACACCGGCACACTCCACCAAATAACAACTACCATACAAAGCGCAAAAGCCTCCAAGTCCCAACCGTCAAACACTCCCGCGAACGAGCAAACACGAAAGCCAAGTACAAGACCTATTATCGACCCCCGCCTCCCTCACCCCAACCGACAAACCAACCACCAACCCAACAGGAACAGAGCGACCAAAGTCCTTGGTCCCACCAAGCGAGCAGAAGGTAGTTATGGCCTGCGACCATCACAAAAATAAAAATAAATCAAAAAATATGAAATCCGGTCTTAATACCGTCCCACTAAACCTCATCATCCCAAGCTGCAAGAGAAAACCTAGGTACATACTCCGCCGAGGCCCCCGAGGTTTTACCCCACTCCCGGCCCCGACCCCTCCCCGAACGCCGTTTGCGTCGCTGACCACCAGAAGAACTAGCTTCCCCGCCACCAATGTGCCCAACCCCACCCTGCACTCCCACCTCCTCCACCAGTGCCCGCTTCCTAGCCTGCTGTCCCGGCAGCCTCAACCCAAGAAAGTCAGACATGGTAACTCCCACACTCAGAGGCGAGCTCACAGCTCGACGCCCTACAGGCGCCGCCGAAGGGAACTGAGTCTTGTACCGCCCAACCACATAGGGGTTCTCTCCCTTAGGCCAATGCCCATGGG